GAGTGTTGCTGCTAGAGCAGTTGCAAGATTTCAAGCAAGTATTTAGCTGCCTGCAGCTGTCGTATTTCTGCATGTGAAGAAATGCAGGTTTGTTTGAAAGAGATACCCAGGCCCTTTAACTAAGTAGCTTGCAGAGTGGGTTATTTCAACTGTGGTATTGGTTTTTAACTTAAAATTTTGCAAGTGTCACAGATGACAATCTTTAACTGTAATGCTGGTCATGTCTAACCCTATTTCCTGTGCAAAAATCCAGCAGCTACAGCAGAGCCCTGTTTCGTATTTCTTAACATGCACCTTCATCCTTCATTTCATTATGTATGTGTCTGTTTCTTGGGAAGAAGAATGTGCACCCTGCTCTGCATTGCTAGAGGTGGTAATACCTTGATGAAATTCAACCCAGATTGCAGGCTGCCTCACAACACAAAAGTGGTATCTTTTAGAAATTCTAAAACAATTCAAACTGTTTCAATGACTATTTTTTGCTAAAGAAGACTTTTTTCACTGAGGAGCTGTCTTGGGTGATGCAGAACCACCTCACTCTGTAACATGTCCTGTGTGGTAATTCAAAGTAACCTCGTGTATCTTGTTTGCCTCTCTTCTTTTAATGGAATGCCGTTTCTTTTCCTTGCTCCAGTCTTACCTCTTCTGTGTCTGTACTTTCCTGACCAGGATCTTTACAGCCATAATGCCCATGGTAGCAGCTGGAATGATTCCAGACGATCCCACATTGCAGCCAATACGAAGACTTGTGTCCCTTGTAGGATTTTTTTTTTTTTTTATGTTTGGTACTGTGGTTTCCTTCTGCATGACCCCGTGTTAACATGTGCTGCTGGTTGCATTCTCATGGCCACTTGTGGGATCACAGAAGTGCCAAGTGCCAATCAGAATGACCAGGCAGTTCACAACTCATTGTAGCCCTCCATGCTCATCCTCAACTATTGACATTTTATCTTAATGCCTTTTGTCTTAATGTTACCATGCTAAACCAACCATTACTCCTTAGAAAAGTGTTTCTATATGCAATTTTAACCAGCATTTGTTAAATTTGCCTACTAAGCCTGCCTATGCACAATTCACACCAGTGCTTTTTGAAAATAAATCGGTTACAAACCACTTAGATTTACAGAATGTAATGGCTGATATCTGCATTAATTTCCAGTGTTTACTTTAGGCTGATGTTTCCATGTCTTAGAAGCTATGCACTGTAGATCTTGTCTCTGTTTTTGAACAGAGTATACACTCTCAAGAATAAATTCTATCACCCTATGCTTGGTTACCCCTGGAAATTGTAACTGTTAATGCAGGCTGGTTTTGCATTATAACTCTGACTTTATTGATCACTGTATCTGCAGCAGCAAAACAGTGTTTAAATTGCTCTTCTTCAAACAGATGTATTTTTTTTCAAACATTGCCCATAAAACTTTTCTAGGCCTAATAGCAATCTAATAAGAAAGAATAAAAAAGCCAACCCCGTCCACTTGGTATGGAAAAATATTTTGTTAAAACTTCTGTTACTGAAAGAGAGGGAGGAAAAAAAAAAAGAACTTTGATATTTGAAACTTACTGCATAAATACAGGAGTCCTCTGTGGAGTTCAGCATACAAACATGCAAGACCAAACATCTCCAGGGGGAAACCTCAGTGACTAGATGCTTCCCATTCAATTTGGAATTGGATCTGTCCCTGCAAAGACTGATCACATGTGTGTGAATTTATAAACTTCCATGATGAAGGCAGTAGAAAGCTACCAGACTAATTAAGTGCAAAAGACTTATTTCACTATTAAGACTGCACATTTCAAGCCAGGAAATGCAAAAGTTCAGGTCCTGCTAGCAACGTTAGCTGTCTTGCATTGCACTTGTGTAGCTTTTTGTATCACTTTCTAGTCAAGCTTATTATTAATAATCTTCATGCTTACCTGCACATATGATAGGATGTTTTTTCAGGAAAGCTGCCTTAACCCTCATCTGACATTCAAATACAGCCTGTGTGACTAGAGATGTGGAAGGCAGAACTCCCTGGTCTGCACAAGGCGGCTTGAACGGTTGGGATCCTGGTACTGAGGGGAAAGGAAGGGAGTGTGAGTGGAGGCAGGATGCTGAGCGAGGGGCAGTGGGCATAGGGCCATGTTTATGCCAGGACAAATATTCCAGCCCCTGGTGGGGCTGGGTTCATGGGCGGACAATCTTTTCCTGAGAAACATTTAGCAATTCCAGTCCTAGATCAGGACTGCGTTATGCTCAGTACTGTGCAAGCAAATCGGTGTTTACCTCCTAAAATGCATCGTTAAAACCAGAAGGAGAAGCAGCCAATTTGGGTAGCTGGAACTAAAACTTTTGCATTTCTCAGCACACTCAAACGTTGTACTAAAACCTCTTGTACTGAACTCATTACAAACATCGAAAAGATGATTTTGCTTAATCAAGTAACTTCACAGTACACAAAAATGATAGTAAGGATTTCTTCCAACTGTGTATTTTAGCTGTGTTGTCAGCTGGCAATTTGTTGTTGTTTTAAATGGCTGTTGGTTCATGTACGTCATTAACTTAGCACACCCAAGCTGTGCGACGGGAAATGACGTGCACATTTGTGTGCATTCGTTTAGAGCCTTCATCCTGCAAACTCTTGAGCACTTGTGTGCATTTATTCATTTATTTTTGCAGGAATAGGGCCTATGTATCAAAATTTGTACCCTTGGAAAAAAACTGAAGACCTATTTTCTTATGAAATTCCCTGCTGGCACCCTTAAGAATATTCTCTCTTCCTGCTGTAGGGCAAATTATACAGATTTATTGCTAAAGATACCACTTTACTTATGCCAAGAAACTAACCCGTATTTTGTTGCTTCTTTATCTCGGGGTTGAGGGAGGGGGAATATGCAGCATCTAAAATGATGTCTGCACCTTGTAGAGTCAGCAGCACTTAGAGCTTATTGGAAGCTTCCAGAGCAGAACTGCTTGAGATTGCAATGACTTCATCTCTAATAACATTTTGACATGCACTCCCATCAGGCTTCACTGCCTTGATTTTTTGCAGATGCAAACAGGTTTTTTTTTTGCTCTGTTTTGTTGTGCTGTGTATCGTGTCGGGTGTTTGAAGTGTTTTCAAGCCAGTAAACAGTCTCTTTTTTTTTTTTTTCCTTCTCCTTCCTTACTCCTCCTCCCTCCTTGGAAGGTTTAGTTTCTTCTCTCGTGATAAGAGACGTATGCAGGCATCACAGAGAAACGTCCACTTCCAGGATACTTTTGGCGAATGGGCAAACTCAAATAAAGATGACTCCTACATGGAACAAGGACAAGAAGCCCTGCAGCATCTGTGACTAAAACCTTGAGGTTCAGCTTGCCACAGTAGGTCTCACAGTCTAGTAACAAGAAGCTTCTGTGAACAAATCCATCAGCTCCTCACTGCTGTTTGCCTTGCACACCTCAGTGGCTGCATCTCAGATGCACTCTTCAAAAGGGATCCCTCACTGCTTACTTGGTGACTGTTTGCCAGAAACAGGATCCAAGCTGTGCAATAAGTCACTGATATTGGGACATCGAAGCTTCTAGATGACTTGTTTTGTGCTGAATAACAAGTCTGTGGTCTTGCTCATGCATTAACTACAGTAACACAAGCTTCTTTAAACCAAAAAAGAGACCTGTGCCATTATTAGAAGATTGTTTGCAGTGTACAATATCTACTGGCAAAGACTCTTTTATTCTGTTTTGTTAGACTTTTTGGTTGTTTGCTTTTTCTTAATTCTGTAAGATTTTTATTTTTATTTTTTTCTGAGAGGGATACCACAGCTCCATGGCAGGTCTTAGCACTGCTGTATTTTGTCAAGTTAGGTGGCATCTGCACCAAGCTGACCACTTGGAAACAACCTGATGCAAGCTGAGAAGCTGGAATAGCCTTGAGCGGGACAGGAAGGGTACATTTCCCTCGTTGTGCATAGTGCCTAACGCATGAGGAAGTCGAAGTACGAGGTGAGCGTGCCTTGCATTTTGCCAAGAGTTCTGCAGTATTAATGGAAAATGAACTGCTCGCAAAGAGGAATTCTAACACTTGATTTCTTTTTTCCTTCTTACCAAGGTCTTCCCCCTAGAGCAGCAGACAGCCACTCTAAGGGAGTTAGTTCCCCTTCCCACAGACACGTTTTGGGTAGAGTCACACTCCATTTTTCTTTCTCGATGAAGACTGCCTAACTTCAGCAGTAGGAGTCCTCCTCAGCTAGCTGACATGAACTGCTTTAACTGACTTAGAGATGACCCCAACCCACGCTTTCTTGCTGACTAGTCTAAACACTACCTGGGGTTGTAGAAGGGATGGATTCTACAAGCACAAGCTTCTCTACTGCTGTCAGCTGGGGTTTGGGTAGCCTGATGTGCCAGCAGTGCCAGCGCATGAACACAGCTGAGCTGTCAGAAGGTGGGTTCAGACCCACTTCACATTAAGCATGTGAAGCCCCTGGGCTGGGTTCAGGTCATGCTTATGAAAAACCCCTCACCAAAGCCCTGTGCAACACAAATGCACCCTGCCCCATCCCCTCCACGAGAGTGGGCTCGGCAAGCACTGCTTGGGCAGGACAGGGCATGGGGTCCCTCACCAAGGAACGTGGTCCTGCACGGGAGCCCAGCGTTGCTGGGGAGCAGCAACTCTAGTTGCAACAGGGTCCTAGATAACTTCTGCTCATGGAACCCAGTGCCGCAGCCGCGGGCTGCTGATGGCTCCAACCCCAGCAGCCAGAGGGGCTCTGAAAGGAGCCGGCTCTCAGGAGCAGCACGAAACAGGAGCCAGTGCTCAGGCAAAAGCTCTGCTACTCCAGGTGCTAATTGCCTGAGGCTCATTGCAAGGGCTCCTAGAGGAGAGCAAGCCAAAGGCTTTCGTACACGATGTTTATTTTCTGTTTTTAGTTTTGCTTGGTAAAGATTACTGTTTTTATGTCCCAGCATGGGTTACCTAACGTGTGGGCAGGGAATGGTCACGGCAAACTATGCTAGGAAACAAAGCATTTTTGCAGTGGTGGGACGAAGGCTTCGCCGTTCCTGACTGTAATTGTGCTAGATTTTGAACCTGGAACTTCACTGTGCTCTGGGTACTTTGAGTATTTTCTCTCCCTCTCCAACAAATTACAATTTTTTAAGTACCGGTTTCCGTACAGGCTCCGGTCAGCAGCCCATTCCCAGCAGTGTTGGGAATATATCTTAGCACATACGCCTTAGCACTATACCTTCCCCGAGGGACCCATGCTGCTGAACTAACCTGCAACTCCACTGTTAAGAGAAAGAAATTGCAGGCTCTCCAGGTTGTCCCTGCAGTTCAAGGAAGAGGGGAAGGGAGGGAGGAAGGTAGCCTTATATGAAAGGCATCTATATTTGAGATACTGACAAAAACATCTGACACTACTGTATGACACTAGTAAAGATGCTTTTGCCTGGTTAAGTTCTGTTAACGTGTTGTTTTATGCTTACAGCAAGCTGTATTCACAGAACCACAGCATTCTTCCTTTTATGTGAAAGGCAATTCTTAGAGAGTCTTAATTTAACGATACCCAAGTTGCTGAGATCCCACTTTCTTTTACAGATTGGGAGAAAAAAAAAAAAAGAAAGTCCACTACATTTGTATCAGGCAGACAGAATCTAAGTTAAAGTTGCATGGTTCTGGAGCATGTACTAGTCTTAAACACTTTTGTTCCTTAACGATGAGAAAGGTGTAACAAGGAGATATCTTGAAGTGTTCTTGTATGGACATAACGTTGGAGTAGGGGCTAGAAAGCAGAAATGGATCATTGTTGCTGTTTAAAAATCATGATCTTACACTGGAGTTGATGGAATGGTGCCTGCTGAGTCTCTCCCTAGCATCATTTACAGCCGTTGGGCACATTCACAGGGACACAGCGACAGGAAACAATGCAGGAATGAGCACATTGACAGCCTGAACACAGGCTCATCAGCTAGGAGCCATGGACTGGGATAATAGAAATACACAGACTGAACATTTTTCCCCCTTTTCCCTAAGCTCATGTATTAAAAAGGAAGTCTCCAGACCTAGTTAGTACATGAAGAGCTAGTCCCATGGGCTAGAATCCAATGCACAGTTGCTAGGTCAAATTTACAGCCAAGTACAGACAATGGCACTAAGCAGTACAGCCTTCCCCCCCCCTAACATGTACCCCATTACCTCAAAAACCTAATTAATTACTCCTGACCTGCTAACATAACCACTTCACTCTGTTTTGTTTTGTTATAAAGGATGCCACATAGGGAAGAATAAAGAATTGAAGATCTGCCATATATAGTTTCTTAATATTCAAGTAAAATCTTTTTTTTTTTTTTAAATGGGGACAGGATGTTGTCAGGTAAAGGGCATAACATTCCTGCAGGTAGACTGCAGGTTCACTTAAGGTTTTTTTGTTGTTGTTGTTGTTTTTTTGATTGGGCAGTAAATCATTTTAACGGTTTAATAAATATTTCTGAAGGTATTTCTGAAAGACTTGTGTCCTTTGTGTCCTTTGCAGCATCTCCCAGTGCTGTCTGCTCTTGGGGATGTGGTTTAGGCGCTGTCTTCTCCCCTGCTGAGAACAGCTCACACAGCTCTGCATGGAGATAAGGCCTCATGCTGAGCAACGTTTAGGATAGAAAAACTCCATGTAAAACACATACACACACACACACAAAGATGCCTAAAAGGGCTTTCACAAGTCAACTTTGTTGTTGTATCTAACCATTTACGAACAGCCTGAGTTACACAGTTCAGTGCCTTCAATGGAAGAGACATGTTCATCTCCCTGTAGGCTTTCACTACTCAAAAAATCCTTAATCAGGGAAGAGCAACAGCATGACCAGGACATTCCTGTATCTCCTCTCTAGGCCCAGATAATCTTTTCATAGGAAAAAAAACTACCAACCAACCCCCTGAACAAACAGGACAGCAGTCCTTACACAGAGGAAAGGTCCCTTCAGCGGCAGCAGGACTTGGTTCCTGCTGGAAGACAGACGTCAGCAGACACCAAACCCAAACACCCCGTAATTACAGACAAGGGACCTTCACCTATCGATGCTTATCCTCATCTCTCTCTTCTTTTTCCCTGCTCCGTTCTCTATCCCTGTCTTTCCTGTCCCTGTCCCTCCTGTCTCTCCCTCTGCTCCTGTCCTCTTTGGAGTCCCTCTCACTCTCCCCCCACGCCCACGAACGCTCCCGTTCCGGCCATCTCTTGTCTCTGCTCCTCTCATGCTCTCGATCTCTTGTTCTCCAGTCCCTTGCTCCTTCGCGAGACCAGTTTCTTTTCTCGGCTGATCCCTCTCCATACAGATCACTTTTCATGGCTGGCAAATTGATGGGCTTCCGGAAAGGTCTGTCCCGTCCTCCAAATCGTAGCTGCCCAGATTCTTTCTTGCCTCCAAAACCCCCTCCAAGCCTCCGAGGGATCCACCCTTTGAGAGTTCTTTCCAACTCGAAGTCCACGAAGATCTCATGCTGGTCAATAACCAGCCTGTTGGCATCCCTGTGGGCCTTCAGCAGCGCTCGCTCCTCCTTGTACTCAATAAACGCGTAACCCTTGGAAAAGCCCGTAACCAAGTCTCTCACCAGCCGGATCTTTCTGATATCTCCGTACCGGGAAAAAACCTCCTTCAGCTTCTCTTCCGTGGTCTGCAGATTGAGCCTGGCTACGAAGAGGGTGAGGTGAGGGTCCCCTGTCACCCCCTTGTTGGGGACGTACCGCGCCAGCATGGCCCTCCATATGGCTCGGTCGTGGGGCTCCTCGTCGGTGCCATCGATGCTCCCGGCTTTGAGGGGGTCGTACTCCTTGGCTA